TACCCATACACACATAAAAGGTTAACAAAAGAAGATTGAAGGCAAGGATATTTATGGTTTGGCCATAGTGTATGCATGGTTCAAATTGTTCTTTATACCCCTTCTATTTTTGATTTAGGATAATAATTCCAAAAGCTTGCTAACAGCATGACCAAGTGTAATTTACAATTGGGTGCTCTGATGGATGGCAACAAAGATGTAACATCAGCAGCAATTCATGGACAAAGCTCATCTCCCACCAAATGAAAAGCTGCTACATATGCCACTGATGTTTCTGCCTTTAGAAATTAATGGACATGTTGGCACTAGATAGTTCCTATAAACCAAGATGCAGCTGTGAAATAAACGGGCAAGATGAAGGCACTGAAAGTCCTTAAGGACTACTTTAAGGAGAGAAGAAAATAGGCTGTGAATCACTAGGAAGGAGGAAAAAATTCCAGGCATGTACACACACACACATATATACACTCACACTTTGCGATTTTTCAAGGTGGATCAGCTCAATAAAAATTATGACCTTTTTTCCTCTGCCTTATTTTATTTTTCGGTACTAAAAATATTGCCAGTGCCCGAGGCGTTAGTCAGAGCAAACCTCCATTATCACTCCAGAGATTGGCACTTTGTTCATTAGGCTCCTTAGGATCTGACTGAGTGACCTTGTTTGGCGGGAAGGCACAGATGGAGTCTGTCAGTAAATCTTGTTAATGTAACAAGTATTCCTACTGCTAGATGAGTTTTGCACCTCATACAACCGTTTCTTTCTTGTGTAAACAACCCCATTCCCTCCGTCCAATGTCAGCCTCTCTGCTACATGCCACCAGGTACTTCAGTATTTATTTTTATTGTAAATCATCCAAAAAAAATTCTTGCTGTGAATGTAGGCTGCCCTGTCTCCTAGAAGTAACTATGTGGCCAGCTTCTGAAGACACTGGAGTTCGTTAAAAAAAAAATCAGCAGTGCTCTCTGGTAAAAACACATCAGCTTTCTTCTGCTGTGAATCTCTGAGTTTTAAGTTCTTGTAGCAATGTGTGTTTTTTCATATGTTCTTCCCATAAAGTAAAACTATTATATCAACTTCTGACTCAGAAGTAAATTTGAGTGGTGTTGAGGGGGTGGGGTGAAATATCATGCTAGGTGACTTAATTATATGACCTAACCAGAATTTTTCTTCTGAAATGAAGGGCAGATTTGAAAACATTTCAGCTCTAAAAAGTGTTATATAAAAGATGGTAGCTTTTTAACCCAAATGATATGCTTCCCTGGAAGGAAGTGAGGCAGTGGGTATTGCTCTGGCTCCATGTACCAGCGTGAAAAATAAGTCATATCTGCTTACTATTTGTCATTTCTGAATAGCTTAGCAAAACGTAGTTAAGAGAAAATGAACTATGGATTCTAGTCTTTGTTTTGCATTGTGGATGTGATTACTTATTAAATTTATTGAGCAAATAGGATTGTATAATTCTAATTTAAATATAATGTGTTTGCATGATTGTAAATGAAGTCTTGATTTGATTCACAGAAACTTTCTGACCAGTAACAACCCAATAGATAGAAGGCATCTATACTAAATGCCTAGCTAGACTCAGAACCTAGGATGATTCCTGCAGGATTAACGTTTCTTTGTCCATCATCATCATCCAGTTTGAGGCGCCACTACATGAGTAGTGCTTTCTCACCACCCTCTTATTCCCTTTTCCTCCCTGCACACAAAACAATACCAGAGACAATATTTTCACTATACTCTTGTGTGTCAGGATTGTTTGTTTGTATTTTTAATTAATTTAATTTTTCATCTATATTTTTAATGTTGCTATTTTCCAAGCTTTTGTTTTCCATCTAATGCATCTTCTTTTACCATGTGATCCCATAACAGTAGCATAAAATATTAAATTTAGGATATTCCAGTCATTTCCCCCTGAGCAAGATTGTCATGGAAAGAGACATATAGCCTCACTGAAAGTTCAATATAAAAAGGAGTGGATCGACTAAGATAGGAATATGTTCATATTCAGGCAAAAAAGTCAGCAATAAAAAGTCTAGGACCTAAAGAAAATGATTGATCAAGTATGACCATTTTTAGGGACTGTCATTTTGAAATAATTTTCAATTGTTGTGGCAGCCTCACATGATTGTATTATAACTAGTGTCTCCATATGATTCAGTTACAAACTTATAAACTTCATTTAGAAACCAAGCTATGATTTTTTTCAGGAGATGGGCCTACTGTAGGGTACTCTTCTTTAAAGAACTAAATAAGTACTTTGCATAAGGAAAATGTACTACTAGCAGACTCATAAAAACCTCCACCTTTTTTAGTCTTGGCAGGAGATACCAATTAAAATCCAGTCTTGGCTGTAGCCAACACCCAATGCTTCTGAGCAAGGTGATAAAAAATCCTTACACCTGGAGCAGCAGGAGAGGATATAGTTCCTTTTTGCTCCCATATGTGGCTACCAGCAAAGCCCAGAAGCACCAAAAAACCAAACGCACTGCATTCAGGGACTTTCTTATCTGTGATACTATCCATCCCCCATGAATTTATCCCAGCTCCTTAACACTTCTTTCATAAACATTTAAGAAATAATTGTGATTTTTCCTCTTTTGTTCAAGAAGTTCTGTTAATAAAAACTTACTACCATAAAAACTATTTGCATGTTAAAATTATGATCTGTAGTGATTCTTATTTTAAAAACACAGCCATAGTAAGTGGTCTCTGTCTTTTCAAAAAGCTTGGTAAATCTGGACTGCAAGGTCCTTCCCTTCATTTGTTCCAGTTGATTCAGGATGTTTACTTCATTACAGTGACCTTGTATTACAGTGATCAATGTTTTCCAGGTGTCCTGTCTTTTATTTCCTACTATGTGACATCAGTATTTTTATTCATTCATTCATTCATTCATTCATTCATTCATTTTTTTTTTTTTTACAGTAGTGAAGTCTTATATAGTTAATTGACATAGCTATGGAAGTAGAGCATAAGATTGCTTCTGCATCACTGCAGACATACTTGCCATAGATACGTTCTGGTTGTTGGAAAACATGACTAACTTAAAGAGAGCCCCTGCAATGAAAGCCTGAGGCAGCAAGAAGAAATAGAGCCTGAAATTCAGATTGCCCTTATTTTTCCAAAGCTAAATTACCTTTTTCGCTGCTGGTATTTCATATAACTTTTGCCCTTGCTGGCTGATTGTAGCCAACAATTATGAACCTTCAGGATTTACAGGTGGGACAATAGTTCTTATTGCATTCAAATAAACCAAAAGTCTCTATTGTGTATGTATGAACTGTTAACTTATTTTACAGATAACCAATCTGCCAACTAGAAAAATGAAAACAGAAATGACTGCAAGTGAGATCTTTTGAGATTATTAAGTCTTTTGAGTCACAAGCTATATCTTTTCTGTGTATGCAGACCAATGCCCAACTTCTTTATATGTTGGGCAATCTTAATGATGAAAAAGCAGAATTCTGCCTCCAATAAAGCCAACACAGGTAGTGCCATTGAGTGAGCCCAAGAGTGTTTTGAGGGAATATTTTATTTTACTAAATATTACTTATTGAGAGTAACTTTCACTGACAGTTTTTACATTGGGGTCAGAAATTCTGGGATTAT